CCGGGTGCTCCTTGTGGGGCCCAAAGCCTGGGCCCCACAACTTCAGAGGCTGATTTTGGGTGTGGGGGTTTGGTTTAGGACCAAGGGGTGAATTGAGTTTAGGTTAGTTTTAGGGTCAAGAAGGTACCTGTGATGTTAGCCTAAGGGTTGGTGGTCAGGGTTRGGATATAAAATTACCAAAAAATGAATGGAAGTCAATGGACGGGGCCCACAAGGATATAAAAACAAGTGTGTGTGTGTGTATGTGTGTGTGTGTGTGTCTGCAGTAGACAATTAGAGGGGTATCCCTTGTCTACTGACACAAAGATTAGCAGATATTAGCCCTAAAAATAAACAGGGGAACCCATTGTTTGTAATCTATAGATGGAAATCAAGGCTTGTAGAGCAAAAACTAAAACAAATTGTTCCTTCATGTGTTTCTAAAATCTTTATAGCATAAAGTGAGAGCAAAGCTGTGAAAACACATCTTCTCTTAGGCTATGTTCATTCTTGGTCAAGAATGATGAGAAAAAAATAAATCTGTTTTAAATTGTTTAAGTCTGTTTTTAATGCATGAGTCTACAGTCACAAGTCAAACATGCTTTTTAAATTGGTCAGTGACTAACAGATWATTGTCATCTGACTGAACTTTGTCTTAGTTTAAATCATTTGGGTTCTTCTCTTCTCTCGCTTTCACTTACAGTCATTCCATCAATTGGCCCAATGACTWTATAAGGGGCTGTAATGCAGATAATCTTTATGGTGTGTACTTTATATTTGGATTATATTAATGGTAATGGTAAACATAGCTCCAAATCTGAGTCCTTGGTCYTCTRTTGGAAAAGGATGGATTGYTCTCTTTGGGTTGGAKGTGAAGTTCTRCCTCAAGTGGAGGAGTTCAAGTATCTTGGGGTCTTGTTCACGAGTGAGGGAAGAATGGAGCGTGAGATTGATAGATGGATCGGTGCAGCTTCCACAGTTTTGCGGACTCTGTACTGGTCTGTTGTGGTGAAGAGTGAGCTGAGCTTTGAGGTGAAGCTCTCTGTTTACTGATCAGTCTACATTCCTACCCTCACCTATGGTCACAAACTTTGGGTAGTGACTGAAAGAACAAGATTACAGATACAAGCAGATGAAATGAGTTTTCTCTGCAGGGTAGCTGAACTCTCCTTTAGAGATAGGGTAAGTTCAGTTATCCATGAGAGACTCAGTAGAGCCGCTGCTCCTCCACATCGAGAGGAGCCAGTTGAGGTAGTTTGAGCATGTAGTAAGGATGCCTCCTGGACGCCTCCCTAGGGAGGTGCTTCAGACATGTCCAACTGGGAGGAGACCCAGAGGAAGACCCAGGACACACTGGAGAGACTATGTCTCTTGGCTGGCCTAGGAACGCCTTGGAGTCCTGCCAGAGGAGCTGGAAGAGGTGGCTGGGGAAAGAGAGGTCTGGGCTTCGCTGCTCAAGCTGCTGCCCCCGCGACCCGACTTCTGATTAAATGAAAGATAATGGATGGATGGATGGATGGATGGATGGATGGATGGATGGATGGTAAACATAGCTACACAAGACATTTAGATTTGTTTTAAGCACACAGATTTTCATGACAAATACTCGTGTATTATCAATTTATGAAATGTTTCTTTGGTCCTGAGCATATGTCAAACTTTCTTCAAATGCACGGGCTAAAACCAAGCAAACAAATGTGGACCACTAGCTTCATCATGAAAAAAAAAATAGTGTTTTACTTACTATGTCTTTGCATTTCATGTTTTATATTTTTGCATTTGCCCAACTGCCTTCTGATAGATTTTCATTTCTTTTCATTTTTCATTTCTGGGAAAAAACATAGGCAGCCATGAGCTAAATAGAGCTGCATTTTATTGTTTGATTACCTTAAACTGAAGGCTTTTAATGCTAAATTAAATAATTTTTTTAAAACAGCAAGGCTTTTAAATCTCCATATGCAAACAACTGAATGCAGCAGTGCTCACAACCTCAAGAGTCGAGTTCAGACCAAAATACATGCAAGAGTGGGAGAAGGGAGTCCCACAGTTTTCCAAATATGCACCACAAGAAATTAGTTATAGTTGTGTATTCAGTTCTAACATAACTCGTTGTGTGTGGGTGTGTGTGGGAGATGATGATTTTTTTTAAAGAAATAAACCAAATTCTTTGGCCTGTTGTACAGGCAGCCTGTTAAATAAAGAGACATCAGATTTTCACATTTTAATGGATTTAATCAAGCTGACCTGCGTTCAGGAGACAACTTAGCAAAGAATTAGTTTCTAACTGTACCCTGAGACACCWACATTCTTAGATGCTGCTCATCGGCTAGAAACTGTTTTAGGCCTGACATGTCTTCTTTTGTCCTCCACTTGTCCATGTTTCATTTTTAAGTATTCTGCACAGTATGCTGTCCTGGTCAAGCTCACAAGGCTGTTCCTTGTCATACATATAATTTCTCACAACCTTGTGTTTCTGAGCTATTTTTGTATTTTATTTTTTTCACTTGTGTGTCTTTACTTTTTTGAGAAATGTGACTGGAGGGAGATGTCACTTCCACCTGAGATCCTGTCACTTGTGGCAAGTTAGACACCTGAGTTTGTGTCATGAAGCTCTGTCCAGTTCATCTGAGGTCACATGTGTATTAAAAGAAAAAGGTTGACAAATTTTATTCTTTTTCATTGCATCTTATATGTCACATCTGATGTTACTTTGCTAATACAACAAACTTTGTACAAAAACACTGATTTTCCTTTTTTTAAAACCACTGTAAAATGTAAGTTTGTAAAACTAAAATGTACAAAAAATAGACCCAAACAAATAAAAAATGTAATAAGATAAATG